ATACTCATACCAGCAAAAAAAAACAAGAAAAAGCCCATACAGCGGTTTAGTTCGTGTTCCTCTCTCTTACCAACCAAGCTCTGTAATCCTTACTGACGTTCCTCCCTTAGATGTCTACACGCATCGATCCCTTGATGAAACCGCCTTCGGCGACAAACACGTCGCAAGGCTCGCTTTACACTCACGAGTGAGGTGCGTGTCATCCTACGCGTTTGACGCGTCACTTCTCGCTCATCAGTCTTGCAGCAGGGAGTGTAGTCCAGGATGAGGACGGTCTCAAGTCTGTCACGCAAACGAAGACAGACCGTTAGTCTACTGATTCGAACGAACTACGCCGCGGATACCCCATGCCCTTACCATACTCAACCGACGACTTAAACCCTCGACTTCATCTCCCAACTTAAACCCTCGACTTAATCCAATCCCTCGACTTGGCCTTCACTTAATCCGACGACTTGATCCGGTCACCTAAACCGTCTGGATTAAATGTAGTGTTACAGGTTGTATCGATTAATCTACCGAATAAATCTAGATTAAAGACGTTTCGTTCCGACCGCCCATAGATTAAATTTCCCTCATCCTACTTTTCATCGCTCAGCTTAAGGCTTGGATCCGCTGGCGTCGGCGAGCTGTTCGGGACATTCTCCAGTTGCTGACAATGGTTGCCTGTCGGCTGCGGTCTGAACGGCCGTACATCCCGACAGCTACATCCGAATGTATGGTGTAGGTGGAGTCACGAGCACAACTCAACTCAAGTGTTCCGGCTTGTTTTGCTTGGGCTCGGGTCTTGTCCTTTCCTCTCCTTTCACCCTGTTCCTTGAGCTCAACCTGTCACCCAGTCTCGTTGTAGCCACGATCATTCGTTGGGGTGTTTTGGTCTTGCTAAGCATCAGCGTGAGTCGAGGTTTTTCTTCCACGTATCCTATCGGTCGTTCACTTACCTTAACGACTGGTTTACCCCCTGTAGCTTCTGCTCTGCGGACTTGCTACGGCTTGTTACTCTTGCCTACATGTATCAGTAGATGTCACCAATTCAAATGTTTTGTGATGATGTCTATTCGGCAACTTGGGGGTACCTGACCATCAGGGCGACAATAAAAGGAAACGAAGAAAAAACGATCTCCTTTGGGATAGAGAATAGCCCACCGCGAGGGTCGAACTCGCAGCCTTCAGATCACATGCGCACCACCGACATATCATAAGAGTCTGACGCTCTATCCGATTGAGCTAGGCGGGCGGTATAATTGAAGGGAGCTGACTTCATTCTGTGAATGGTTGACATTGATCTCACCCTTCTTCGCCTAAGGCGTTGGGTATGAGGAAGCCCCTTGTCGCCCTCCCGGGTGTGCACTTGCAGACGCGATAAGAGAGGAAGACAGAAGAAGAAGAGGAAGAAGAAGAAAAAATGGTCCACTTCCCGACAAGGTCTAACCAGGACTCGAACCTGGGTTAATGGAATTCAAATTTCAATTGCCATAAGGCCGAGGCATCAGAATCCATTGTGATAACCACTACACTATTAGACCGTGTTTCACGTATCCCGCGTCGGGATATATGACGCATCGGATGGGTCCCCCTCAATGCCGAAGGCTAATTTTCTGTCCCAACTGCACAACAGTTTAACCTATCCTACCCGAAGCTCAATGCCGGTCGGCTCGATAAGAGTAAGAATATGACGCACGCAGGAGCTTTCCATCGACATCTAAAAATGTCCGCTCTTCGTTGTCGATGGCTCTCAGCCACGTTAATCTAAGCCCCCCCGGGTGCTGGAACCCCAATGCCCATTCAATCGCATTCGGGTGGCTCGATGAATGACGCTAAACTAAGCCGAAGCCGTGTTCCCGACTGGGCATTGAGGACCAGTACGAGTTCCCAGCGTTCCTATCTCGACTGGAGAGCCATGTTACTCACCCGCCAAGAGTCCGATACAGGATTCTTCACACAGAAAACCGAAGTATCGACTCGGGCTATCGATGATGATTCTTTCGAGTACATATGTTACGTATCCTCGAGTACCCCAGATCTCGAGTTCTCGGAGTTTGAGAGAGGGGCGCTGTCGATCTACGGAATTTTTCATTTTCGGTGCCGAGAGCACATTTCTAGAATTCATTAGGTCGACGGTGAACTCCAGGACGCGAGAAGTTCCGTGAACGTCGTCTTAATTCTCGAGATTTTGCCGTTTGCGCACAGAGATATCCAAAGCCGTGTTCAATCTTTGGGGTGAGTTTCGTACTCACAGGACCGGGGATATTCAGGATATTCTGGGTCACACTGCCGGAGCTGGCCCTCGTTCGACCATACTCTCGAGGGATTCAGACTCTCCAGCGTATGATTAAATGATGTACCCCGATATCGGCGCCATATCGCGCTCTACGTGGAACCCCTGGCTTCTCCACCATACCCAACAACATCTCCCAAAACTCAGAAGTAAGTTTGTCATCACGATTAACCGTAACCCTAAAACCAGCTCCCCCAGGTCGTTCCTGCCACTCTCCATCGACCCAAATTCATCCCTTCAGTGTCACGCGCATCACGCAGTGCGAGGCAGACCGATCTCAATGATAAAAATCTCTATTGAGTCATGTCCTCGAAATTGGGACTGAACCTTGGAAACATTCCGGCGGGCCGCTCGGAAGGTGCGCAGATTACTGGGTGCACCCGAGCAGGGAAATATTTGGGAGTCGAGAGTGAGCTACTGGAGGAGCGTCGGAGTTATCAACATGTACGGAATAGGGAGACCACGTTTGATGTTCTCGTCGTTCACGACCTCATTAGGGTATCTTGTTATGCCAGGAAGCAACAGTTTGGAAGGGTCGATGATCTTGAGGCGTTTTAGGACTGGCACTTTGCCAAGCACATCCATAACCTGAGGGTGGTGAATAGGGATATTTAGGATCTTAACTTCCTCAAAAAGACGACTCCGGATAAACTTCAGCGCGTCGCAGAAGCCGGTCTCAAAGGAGACCCAGTGGAGAAGAACCAGTGTGACGGCATTCAATTCCACGGACAAAGACTGCAAATTTGGTGCGTCTATCGAGAAGATCATAGAAGCCACGGTGTCGTATGGTTAATCGAGCCCCTGTCAGGAAGGATATTGGCTGAGGATTATTAGGTAGAGAAGGCGTGGGAGGACATATGGTTTATCCGGTACGCTGAACGAAGGCTCAGGAACATCACCATTTGCTGCCCATCCAAGAGAGTGTCGAGGCCGAACATCGTACCACTGAAGACTGTGGATTGTAGACCTGGCAGATGCAATGTTGGGGGACAGTGAGATAAATGATAACGACGCCTCCAACGTGTTGTAAACCTCGAGGTGGGTTGATTTGCGCAGAAGAGATTCGAACGGAGCGAGGCTACGGAGTGCATACATAAACTTCGCAAGTATGAAGAATTCGGAGGTAGTTAGAGGATCGTAGATGTTCAGAAGTGTAGACTTCCAACTGCGATCACTCGAGGATAGGAAGGTGAAGGTCGAGGAAATGGTCAGTCGCATATTGCGCAAGGCTCGCCTTCAGGGTAAATACCTCCGCCTATGAGCCTCCTAAGAGATACGATCGAGTAAGTCTCGACGATTGTGTCCTTGGTGCTCATGTCCAATCTTGTCTTCCACCTCTATCGCAACATCTAATTCATGTTTCCGTGAGCGGTTGAAAGAAATCTCGAGTGCCTCAACAGCATTTTCGGGAAAGGCCTCTTGGGCTGATGAACACAGTGAATTATGACCACATCTCTGTTGTCGATACGCTGACAGCACGCCAACGAGAGCAAACTTACCCAAGGGCAGCAGCAGGGTAACGATTGAAGTTGACAATTCTCTGGTTCCTGTCTGATTTCGATCAACGTCAGATCTGTCCTAAGCAGTTTCCGAATTCTACATGCACAACCCACCAGAGGACTCCCGAGAGGTCTGAAGCCCGTTATATAGGCATTTGGAGCTGCTGGATGTCCGTTTCGTCCATCACACTTTCTTTGAGAGCTACAGAACGGATCAAAATGAATGCCGAGCCTTCTAGGAGAGAGATACAGCATACTTGGGGGCACAAATTACTTGATTTTTGGAACCCAGTCGATTGATGATGGTGGTTGGAGCAAAAAAATATGTTTATGTAATGGTTCAGGTCCGAACGGGATACCGTACCGACCCGGCCGCGTGGCCGGACTCCGGTGCAACCTCGCCAACGGACCAAGCTTGGTGCTGCTACCGAGTTCCAAATTTATGACGAGCTGTAGCGCGAAATAATCAATTTCACTCAAGCCCATCGGTTTTGCAGACAAAGTGTGTTGCCCGCAACCCAGCCCCTTTCTTTCCTGTTGTTGAAAAGCAACCGGTGGCGTATGACTTCCATCGGTGTGCGCACTATGTGTTCCAATCATGGTGATATTAAGGGGGCGACTGACAGAAACAATAAACCACGCATTTGCTATGAATAGGTTTCTACTCCTGTCTTCATTAAAAATCCTTGGGAACGAGTGTTACATTCGTCCAACATCTGTGAATGGCTGAAGTGAGCCTGATCCGTCGGGACTCGATATGGGCTCAAACCTACAACATGGATGATTCCCGAGGTTGGAGACACTCGCTCTGACCCTCACACCATCGATCATTCTGCTTTCGGCGGTCTACAGCCTTTTTCGGTACCATGTAAACTGGATAAGCGCGCATGCTGTCTTGAGCATGTTGTTCAATGAGGTTCTTTACCAGTGATAACATACAGTGTCTATGCTTACCTGACCACCTCGTCGAAGACCGTACCAGCAAATCAGTAACTTCCCTAAACTCGATTGATAATGCTCAGACTGCTACCTGAGACTTACCCACCTGACAGTAGAATTACTTATCGGCTTCACGTTGTCGTTCTCTTGTACGACCTAACTCACGTTTTAAGAGTGAAAGGGTACCTTTACCAGAAACAAGGTTTTCCACTTTATACCCATCGGGCCAGCCATATATGTTGTTCTCCCGAGATAACATATGCCTCATGCCAGTCTCGAGCACCCCAGATCTCAAGTTTGCCACAATTCGGAATTTGTTAGAGGGCGCTTTGATCTACGGGATTCTTCATCTTTGGTGCCAAGACCGCCTTCCGATCGCGATTTCTAGAAACCACCAGGTCGACGGTGAACTCGAGACGTCAGAAGCTCCGTGTACATCGTTGTAAGTCGCAACTCTTAACTGGCCTCTCAAGCGATCAAGAATCGGTTTCCTCGGTGACTATTGTTAAGTGTTTCAAGATTCACATTCCGAAGATTAGACGGTTTTCATGGTTTTGCGAGTCTGTATACTCTTCGGGGTGCTGCTTGTTCAATAACTCCGTATGTCTTTCTCAAGGAGGGCTTTCGTTATCCGAGAAAGATAAGATTAACCTCTTTACCTAGCGATTCTGTCGTTGCCAATTTAAGCTAAGATGGCCTTCAGGAGCATGTTTTTCTAATCCATACGGGGTCGGAGATGTGTCTAGAGTGGAATGAAGAGCCCTATTTAGTCAACCTGTGACCGGTGTTAAGAAGAGACGAGAAACCCGAACTGCGGTGCTCGAGCTTCACCTTTTAGCTCCCAAGTCACACTATCGTCTACCGCAGGGCATCGGATATAGGTACATACTACCACGTGTACTTATCCATCACGGTACATGTACTGTGCCCAAGGGTATTCAAGGGTAAAGGTTTAGTAGATGAGACCGCCTGGGGTTGTTCTATACTTACAGAGCAACCAGATTTAGATGGATCCGACAGTGTAAGATTAACCCAACTTTGACATTCTTGTAAATCCTCGGGGTTCGGAATTCGGAAGAATGAAGACGCATACATTGCTCAGCACCCACGTTCGACCTTCAAACAATAACTTAGTGCGGTATTAACCTATGGGCAACTTGCAGCTTGAGCCAGGCCATGGGCCACAAATCACAAGGCTTCTTAGGCGGGGAGGGGAATTCAATCCTCCGAGTGGCGTTGTCACTGTGCATATGTTCAAGGATCCCCATACTTCGCACTGCTCTCGGACTCTACTCGTGGAGTTGTCATGCGCTTTGACCGATGACATTGAGAATCGGGAATCCGGTACGATTGCACGATGGACTCTATCTAGGGGGACTAACAACTGAATTGTACCCAGCCAAGCTCTAAAAATGTCGGCGGCAAGGGACGATATCACGACATATCCTAGTCTGTTTCCCCGCAGTGGAATAGCCACAGCCTCTTTTAAGACACCAGGGCACGCCCCACGCCACGTTGTTCCTACTTATCAATCTAGTGACAACCTTACTCCGGGTTTAATTGATTGGGCGGGACGTTGGTCAAACTTAGGTGTATATGGCCTGTTATTCTGCCTACTAACCAAAGTCCTGGACACTACTGCTTTGTGGCTCTGTGTCCCATACCCATGTGCTGTAATAGAAACTGGACTCGTTTCTCGCACAATACAATTTCAAGAACGTTGACTAGGACTCTTCCGACCGGTGGGAATAGATAGGTCTCAACTGACGAGGACTTTGTATGTTGTGCATACACCTGACTGACGCTTCGT